AATGTTTGGATTAATTTCCTGTTCAGGGTAGACCAATCCCTCACTGAAGTAAAAACCATGTCAGCTTTAGCAGGAATGTTTTCAGAGTCTCCACCTGGGAAGACTACATCTCTGAGTGGGAAAATAAACACATTGGCCTTCAGCTGGTTCGCTGACTATTTTCTCTGCTGACAACACTAATTGTTCTGTCAGTCAGGATGGTGACGGTTTTCAGCACCAAATCCTGAAAGAACAGGAGGATAATGTTGTCTTTTGTTAGTATCTGAGCTCAGAAAACTTGGAAGTATCTAACTTTGTGTTCATAAAGTTAACTTAAAAACCAGGGCAGACTGGATAGCACTGTGCAAATGGGCATGAGCTGACACAGATGAGCTTTCACTGTGTCTTTCCTTATGTTTCAGATTTAATAGATTAGGAGGACTATTTAATGTATCCTCAAAAGCTTTAAACTGCACCGTACTCTCAAACATGTTATTACACTAGGAAGTGACTGCATTTCACTCAGGTATAACGAAGCAGTGCTAGGCCTGTCATTCACATCATAACACTGACATGAAGGAAATATATTTTGAAAATAATTAGATTTTTTTCTCCTAAATGAAGACCTTTCTTCATAAAGGAGGATTTTTGCAGACTTCTCGTAGCACCAATAAGAAAATAGCACCTATATACACCACAAATTACTGATTCAAAGCAGCACTAATTTCTAGAATAGAGCAGATAAAAATATGTAACCAGTAGTTGAAAGTATTTTGCCAGACTTCTGGACCACCTAAATACATATCTACACATCTGTACTGCAAGTACTTTTCTAAATGTTTGGTGAGTTTTTTTCAAGGGAACAGGGTACCTATGCTGTACTACAGGAGCAGACAGCAGTCTCTGATTTTGTACAAGACAGTCAATATAACCTTTTCACAGACAAATATTATTTCTATAACAAATCTGTCCAGAGTATGATTTCTTATATCACAATTTCTGACAGAGTGGTTTCTTATTAAGTACGTCTAAAACATAGGAAAATTAAATATTCTCTCACAGATAATACTAATGCCTGCAATCATGGTGTCATCATTTCCTTTAACACAAGACACTAATTTCCCACCCAGTCTATGAAATGTACATAGAAACAACTGTTTGTGTTTTAATTCTGTTTCTCTCAAATGCCTCTCTGAGTGTTACAACCCAGAGAAACTTGGGGGAACTATGACAGCACACACTTTCCCTGATGATTGTAAAAACACGAGTACTTCTGTGCGTATATGTGTTTACACAAATATATCTTACAAAACACTCTACAAGAAGATGCATGTAAATATTTTGCATGAAGGGGGTCACACTGGTGTCATAGCTATGAGCTATAGTGCTGAGTACATTGGCATACACTCACAGCAGACAGCATTTCCATCTGTCTAGTCCTCTACAGCTCTATGTCTCTTCTCCTGAGCCCACTAAGCCAGTTGCAGAAACAGTGCATGGCTTCCTCTTGTGCGGTACTATACAAACAGTTCATTTTAGCTTTTATGAACAAAAAAAAATTGGCCTTAACTATGAGGTCAGATAAAGAAATACCCATAGTGGAAAGCAGCACTGAGCTGCTGCCTGCTCTTGGGGAGGTCTGTTTACCTCTCTCTGTGCCCTGATGTCCCATCTAACTCAACATCTGGCTTCTCTATTTAAATTGCAGAGATTGTGTATTACTCCACATCCTCAAGTGCCCACAACAATAGAAACCTCTAAAAAGGATCAAGACCACTAGCACATAAAATATGGTAAGTATCAATGATGACATGGCACACATATGAAACGTCTGTCTTGTTTTGAAATAGCCACCATGTGAGTCACCACACACAGAACATCTGACAGTCAGTCCCATCTACCTTTTAAACTGCATCACACCAATATTACTACCATTTACTCAATTTTTTCCCATTATTGAGACCAAAAATTCTACATAACAAATAGCTAAGAAATTATATTATAGATACTCAACTCTCTGAAATATTCATTAGAAAAAAATGCAATGATGAAACTGTACTAGTCCTCATCTTTAATTAAGATAGGCCTGAGTTCTCATCTCCACAACTAGAATTTGCTGTAGGAAAATACTGATGGCATTAAAATCTGATATCTTACTCTATTCTGTGTCTAAGTGCTCTATCATGTTGGATATGCACAGTGTCTATCTATTATCCTTCCATATGCACATTTAACCCACACAGAAATAAAACTGGGGGTGTGGGAATGATTTTTATTTTGTGGGCTGTGTATCACTGCTTCAAATTACTGGATAATTATGTAATTTATTATTATTGTGTGTGGGTTTTGTTCTGCTATGGGGTGGTTTTTCTTGTTAGGATTTTTTTTTAGATGCTGATTGCAGTGCCAAGGGATGTGAATGGCCATCCTTCAAAACAGAAGAAAAAACCAAAACACAGAACGATGAAGATATATCTTCAGTCCTATGTATAATAAGTGCTAAGCTCTTTTTTTTTTTTTTTTTTTTATTCTTGTCCAATAGCCATTGAGGGTCATTTCCAGCATGACAGGCAGGGAGATCTGTCAACTAATAATTGGCTCACCCTTTCTTCCTTTGTTAATTAAAGTTGGCTGCAGTTAGATTAAACATGTTGAACAGAGTCAGACTTGAAGTCTTTTGGGACCCTGCAAAGCAGGCAACTGCAGCTGAGAGGTGGTTCTATGAGTTTTGTAATATCTTATACTTAACAAGATGAAAATCTAAAGATTTTGATAGCATCAAGTCTGAGCTGGAGATTTAGTAATGCTTTTCTCTGCTGCATGTCCAATGGGGAATAAAAGTGAAGGAAGTGTAATCACAAAAGCTGTACAGCTATTGCAGACAACTTTTGTCTTTGGTGTCTTTTTCCTCATGACATTTTTTTCATCTTTTAACCTGTATCTCTCCCAATTAATTTTTTTTTCCCATTTGATTCGGGTTTCTGTAGCTCATTCGATGTCACTACTTGCTGCTGCCACATTTCAGCACATTTCAGACTGAGGTATGACCAATCACTATCGAGATTTGACTGGTTTGAGTGAAGGAAAACATGGAACTTCTCAAAAAAACTAACAATTTGTATCTTCTTTCTGCATAGTGAAATAAAAGACTGCTGCTGAAAATTCTGAGCTCTGGAAAAATTGGTTTTAATACAGTAATCTTAATTTTTTGAAAAAAATGGTACTACAAGATCACTTATGAGAGAGAAAAATAAAATCAATACTTAACAGAGTAAATATTTATTAGCCTTTTCTAGAAGTTGTCCTATTTCTTCACTATGAGCTAAGTGCCAAGCTTTCATTTCTTCTGAAACCTAAGCTTGACTCTAACACAGACCTTCTGTGCTGCCCTTTTCTGTTCAAGAGACCACAAAGTATTTTGCAAGATGCAATGGCAAGTAAGTAAAACAAAAATATTGAATAGTATTTGAAGGTAGTACTTGCTTATTTACTCTCTCATGTTGGTATCAGAAAAGCATATCAATGTAACATTAATGGTATTGAATGGGACATATTTTAAGGAGTTACATATTCACATTGTATTATCCAGATGGCAGTGGACAACCTCATTATAGCATGTTGGCAGTAAGCTGCTCTATCAGAAGCAACAGCTTCATTTTTACACTGAATTAATCCCATTGACAGACACGACATACATTTGTTGCTGGCTTAATGTTGGTCATTGTGGATAGACTGATTTACCATTCAGAGGTATTGCAAGAGTTCTGCATTTTCATTCTTAGGCCTTGTTGAGAACTTCCTAAAGCAAGTGAAGACACATCTCCCTGCTAGATGCACTAACGCCTCTGTCTTGGGGTTCACATAACTCTCTAAAATCTAGGTCTGAGATTCAAAGTCATCAGAGTAGTTAGTGGGTACTAGCACCACACAGCTGTGTTTTATAAAATTTTGGACTGTCCCTCTGATATTTGACCATGGACCTGCTGGAACTCCAACAGGCCTGTAACCTGTCTGTAGCTCTGATCAGGCTTTTCTGCAGGTTTTGACTTCCTGGTTATGTCCACCCAGATTTTACACTGGGGTTTTCTCTTTCACCCACCCAGGCATAGCTGTCACTTTGATTTGTGGTGTTCTGCATTTTGGAAGCTTCAATGTCTTTTTCTGTGATGGTGACAAAGGCAGGTTTTATCTCTATTTATTCCTTCAAAGAAGCCCTGCAAGGATGCTTGCCAATTTGGCCCCTTCCTCTTCCCTCTTTGCATCTTTCTGTTGGCTCTTATTTTTCTAAGGGAGCAGACATCAACAGACTGGTCTCCATGTCTCATTGCTGTTGTAGCATCTCCACAATCTGCTACCCTTCCTCTGTCTTTCTTGAGGTTTGAGATTATCTACCTCCGCAGATCCCCGTTGCAAAAGGGATCTGTAAGCTCCTTACCTCTCCCCACTTACCATTCCCCACGCAGGGAATTCTCCCCAGGAGATGTTACTAGCCCTTAAATGATAAAAGTACATGTTCAAGGCCTGGACACATCTGTAGAGCGCCATGTGCACAGCACAGCACTGGACAGTTACTTGCTGGGAGAGATGAGTGCCCTACAGAAAATCCACAGGCATGGAAGGGTTCCTGCAGGGACTGGTGATTGGTATCCACAGCAGCACCTTGGAGGAGCCCCCTGGTTTCTGTCTGGCAGCGCATTGCACTAAACAGCTTGCTGACACCCTGCTTTTGCTGGGGGCAGTCCTACAGCCCAGGCAAGTGACACCATGCCAGCGAGATTTTGGGTTCTTTCTGTAGAAGGGTTCCTTGTTCCCTACACAAGAGCCTGCAGCTCGCTCTGCGTCCAACTGCCCGCATCTCCCAGGCTAACCTGTTACTTGGTGTCCCAGCCAGGCATCGGGGCAAATGCTTTTAGCAACAGAACTAAACTAAACTAAACTAAATTAAGCAAGAAGCACCGAAAATAAGCGCGCCAACCCCAACGGGAGGCGGCGGGACAGTCTGCCAGGATGTGGGGTGGGGGATGCTCCCGGGCGGCACATGGGGCTCAGCCCAGGTCCGCAGCCTCGGGACCCTCCCGGTGCCCCGGCAGGGCTGCGCCGGTCCCCCGAGCTCCCTGCGGGGCCGAGCGAGCCTCCCTGGCCGTGCTGCCCCCGCCGACAGGCCCCCTCTCACCCTTCGGCCGGGCGGGGAGGCAGCAAGCACAAAGAGAGGTACGCTCTTTTTTATTTTTTTTTCCTGGTTTTATTTTGGTTTTGGTTTTTGTTTTGTTTTGGGTTGTTTTTTTTTTTTTTTGTGTGTGTGGTTTTTGTTTTGGTTTGGTTTGGTTTTTTGTTTTTGTTTTTTTGGTTTTTTGGTTTTTTGTTTTTTTTCTCCTTCGTGAAGGGCTTGAAAATACCTCCGTGATCGACATCGGGCACCACGCGAGGCTTCGGCAGAGCAGAGGTGCTGGACGTTTGACAATGCCATTAAAGCGTTGCTAAAGTTAACGCAGCCTCGACGGAATCTGAAAAACTAAATAAGAGACCAGTTTCAACCCCAATCCCCACTGGAGGGGATACACTAGTATGTTTCTTATTTTTATTTTCCTTATAGCCTGTTAAATTGACTAATAAAGTCAACACAGAGTTCTCTGTGTGGCTTCAAAAAACTCAGTAATTTTGTTAGAAAACGTTGAAATCCAACCCCAAAGTATTCAGCCCAAATATTTAGTTAAAGTAACCCTGTGGGTTAATAAACTAAACAAAGGCAAACCATGCAAAACTGCAGCAATGAAAACCAGACTTAAATAAACGAAGGAAAGTTTATAAGAACCCTTTAGCTGGAAAAAAACAGCGAGGGAAAACTGCATGAAAGTTTAATATGAAGCATGTGATACACGGGGGCTCGTTTTACAGGTACACAGCTTGCTTCAGACAGTCGTTGTCTCCAGAAAAATTTCGAAAATACTTATTCTGCTAAGCTGCATTTCCTTCGAAACCTCACTGCAGCGTTTTCTACTGAGGAAACACCCGACAGCTTTTGGCAGGTTAAGAGGACCTCTTCTCTGTCTTGCAGCTCTCTCACTGCCCACACTTCACCACATTGCTAATTCCGGAGTCTGACTTGTTTAGTTATTTCAGCTCCAGTAATGTGGTTGCAAAATATTTACCTTTCACACAAGAACCTGGATTATTTTGATTAGAGGCCGATGCACTCTTCAAAATGTTTGCTTATGAGCAGGAGTTCTTCAAAAAGGGGCACAACAAAAGATCCGTCTTCTCAACTACCACTTTTAAAGCAGTTGTTAATAGCTAAACCCCAGGTTGCAATAGAGGTGGAGTAAGCCTCTAAAAAGAAAAAAAGGGACATTTAAACCACGCTATTCAAAATACGCATGCTAAATTATTTCAGATTGCCTTTAGCACGTTGGCAGTTTGGTAATAATTATAACCATTGCTGTTCTGCAGTTTAGATGATCACGGAAGAAACCTTCATGACAATTGTTTTTTTATCAAATAAAGGGCACGGGATTGATGACATGTTTTTCTCTATGGGTTTCCAAATTATTTTCTTTTGCATTATATCCCCAAAGAAGCAGCCCGGGAGAAGACCGCTGGAAAAACAAGCCCCAAAATAACAGGAGATCGTTTAAACTTCTCTTAGTTGCTTTTCATTGTCAAGAAAAGCTGAATAAACAGCGTCGGCCCCGCCTGAGAGCGCAGAAAGCAGGTTTGAAATGAAAGAGACATGCAGAGGGAAAAGATGAGGACTTTTTTTATTATTATTTTCTTCCCTTTTCAAGTACTTAACTTTCTCCTTTTCAGAAAGGAACTTCATGCAGCCCAGGGAGCACTTTATTTACCATGTACAGAAGAAACAAGTCAAATTTAAAATTAACCTCCAGTCGTGCTGGGAATAGATCAGACCAAATGTTGGGGGAATTCCTTTATTTCCCCCGTCTGATATTTCTGTCCAATTCCGCTGCTTAACCATCACCCGTTGTACTGCCAATGAAGGGAATGGTCCCTTTCGGTGACAAGCCCTGATGAAATGATTTTCTTTAGAAAGAAAAAGAGAAAGATGGACTAAGGAACTTGGGGCAACAAAGCTTTACAAGGAGAGAAGAAAGACTTGGGTAAAATACGACACATTTATCTATCAATTGCTAGACAAGACAAAGAAGGCTTAACAACAGTTTGAAAAGAGTGGCCTGTGAATGGTTACTATTCAATTTGTATTTTATTCCCCGCTGGTCATGGAATTGAGATCAGAAGAAAAAGTGAAAACACATGGCTGAGGTCAGTAGGATCAGAGAACCACCACATACAGCAAAGGGAAGGAAAAGCAAAGGGAACTTGTGTGAAGAAATGGATTATATAAACAGAGCTTACCATCGCCTGCACCCCATTATCCTATAATTTACACTGCATGGGAGCATAGAAATATATTAAACTAGTGATAGGTTTCACTGTTGCTTTATGCCAATCAATTCCATTATATACTTTCGGACATGTTTAGAATTCTTGGACTAATGTGTTTATTTTAAATATCACAGGGAAATTATGACATCACCGGCAAATAATGCTGGGGAAGGTTGCCTTCCTTTTGAAGTATGCTGCAGTGAAACATGATTTTAATTACATAATCACTTTGAAACCGTAATTATATAATAAACGAGAGGGATTAAGCGGGAAGTGTATAGTACATTAAAAATTGCTTAGGTCCTGGAAAAACAAACCGAACACACAGTGAGAAACGCTCGGTCATGAAGACCGCTTGATAAGTTCGGGCTACAGCGCTTTTTCGCGTTTTGCCCCAGGCGACAAAAAGATGTCCCCTCCGACAGCCGCCGACGCTCGCTTCCCGTTTTTCCCCGGAGAGCGCAAACCCAGCCCGGTTTCGCCGCCGCCGCCGCCTTCGCCCGGCGGGACCGCGGCCCATCCGCAGAGCCTGGGCCGGCCGCTACCGGGGAGGGGCCGCCGCCCGCTCGGTCCTCCGCGGCACCGGAGAGCCAGGCGGGGACAAATCTGGCTTGTAAAAGAGGGATCAGCCGCCCCCTCTCCGCCCGTCCAGTTCCGCACGCGCGGGCCGGGAGCGCCCCGGGAGTGGGGACTCAGCTCGGCACCCGGGGCTGCGCTTGGCGCCCATCGCCCATCACCCATTGCCCACCACCCACCACCCAGCCCCCATCGCCCAGCACACATCGCCCATCACCCATCGCCCAGCCCCCAGCACCCATCACCCAGCCCCCAGCGCCCATCGCCCGTCGCCCAGCGCCCAGCGCCCAGCACCCATCACCCATCACCCAGCACCCATCTCCCATTGCCCATCTCCCATCACCCATCACCCAGCGCCCATCGCCCATCACCCAGCGCCCATCTCCCATCTCCCATCACCCATCACCCAGCGCCCAGCGCCCATCACCCATTGCCCAGCGCCCAGCGCCCATTGCCCAGTGCCCATTGCCCAGCGCCCAGCGCCCATCGCCCAGTGCGCATTGCCCAGCACCCATCGCCCATCGCCCAGCGCCCATCGCCCAGCACCCATCGCCCATCGCCCAGCGCCCATCGCCCAGTGCCCAGTGCCCATCACCCATTGCCCGGGCAGTGGGCCCGCTTTGCTGTCCTCTGGAGGCAGGAGGAGAGGAGGTCTTGTTTCACTTTTAAGGTAGCTTTTTTTTGTGTGTGTTTGCTTGTTTGGGTTGTTTGTTTGGTTTTTATTTCTTGTTTTCGTATGGTTGTCATGTTTCTTTTTGTTGTATTTTTTGGTTGGTTTTTTTTTTTTGTTTGTTTGTTTTTTAAGGGCTAGACCGGAGTGCGGCAAGGTCCCGGGGACCCTCCCTGTCCCCATGTGCTCTCCCCGGGACTGCCACCGCCTTTGCAGTCTGTCAAGCACGGGAGTCAGATCTGCCAGCCTCTTTTTGCGCCCTCCCCCTGCTTCCCCCTCCCCTTTTGCCCTGTCCCACTCAGACCGAGCCAGGCACCAGCACTGCAGGGGAGCAGTGGCCACCGGGACCTCCCGAGAGCACGGGAAGCCTCAAGGAAAGGAGGGAGGGACCTCATCCACACACTAAGTAAGTGCCCACACACTGCCCAGATGGCAAAGCCCTGGGGGCAGTGCTTGGATCCCCACACCAGAATGAAATTCAGACCCAGCTAACCCAGTGCAAGAGTCTCTGCTTGCAGTGTTGGGGGTGACACTTCCACCCTGGTTTCCAGTGGTTTATTGCAAATCAGCTTGGCTCTCAGGACACATCAGACTCAGCCCTTGCCATGCAGTCAGTGAGCTGCTCTCAACTTTTATCTAATGGGTTGCTCACATCAGGAACATATCTTTGGGTCTGGACTGTGTATTTCCTACCCATCAGGACACCTTACTTTTTGGAAGGTGAAGAGGAAACATGGCAGCAGGGATGCCCTTCACTGCAGAAATTGCTTGGATCATCCCCTGCAGCTTTGTTCTGGACTGGAAAGCTGTACCTGGAGATCTTCTTCATCTAGATGTGCTTCTAGTAAATTCACTGCTCAGAAAGACCTCTGCAAGCACAGAGAGGTCTTGTGAAGAGCTGGCACGTAGGGAGGCATGCACAGGTAATCTGCTTGGTGCAGCTTCACCTGGTCCCTGCCTGCAGGGAGCAAAGCAGACTGGCACCTAGGGACCAGGCAGCTCCATGCTTTATCCAGAGTCTCATGGCCTTTCACCCCCAGCCCATCTAGCGTGCTTTTGTTTGGTCTCTCAAGTTAAGGGTCACTGTTTCCGGGAGTTGCAATTCCAACACACACCCACGTGGCTGGCCTGGAAACCACAAAGGCAGGAGGCTGCTTGATGGTGGCACAGAAAGGCAAACCAAGTATGGGACCCTCATCAGGTGGCTCTGGACCTGGGCAGACCAGCTGGCTCCCCACAGTTCTCTACAGACTAGCCCAAAATCCATGCATTCCTCTGGAAAGACAGCTTACATTCACATGCAGATGCTAATCACATACTCAAGAGGCTGTCCCAAAGAGAGTAATTTCCCCAGATGCTTGCTGTGTGGTCATGAATTCTCAGGAATATATTTTTTTCATATGAAAACATTTATTTTTCCTCCAGATGTCATGGTAATTAAGGCGGAAGAATGCACTCTGTTAAATGTGTGAGAAAGATCATGGTGCCTCACAAGTCTACAGGAGTCCCTGGAGGACCAAGTACCAGATGGCACAGATGAGTCTCTGACAGGGGCACGCGGTTGTATAAAACAGGCCTCAGCAAAAGTCTTTCAAGAAGCTATCACAAGACGGAAGCTGGTCACAAAGAGTGGGAGAGAATATGGCAGGGGAAGGTTTCTGGTGCAGTGGGGAGGCCCCAAAGTTGTCCAGTCAGTGTTCTACACTAGCCAAAGGGTAAACACATCATGGGGTTGTTTTAGTCAGAAATTAATCTGTTTTGTTCTCATCACAGTGTAGTGTCTGCTGTGGTTTTGCCAGAAGTCCTAGTCTCCTAATTACATGGGGGAAAACAAAAGAACAGAGCAATGAAAAAAATATCTGCCAGAAAAGAAATAGTCTGAAGAGGCAGGCAGTGACACCTGTAAACCACAGGCAGAAAGAAGGGAGAAATAGGAAGCTGTTCTGGGCTAAAGGGCAACAAAGTAATAAGAGTGCCTGAAGCACCCAGAAGTCTGTTTTCCGCTGTGCAGATGTGGAACTTTTTAATTCAGAAGTCCTCGGACCCCATAAGTGTAAATGAGTTGAAAAAGAAAGTAAATTTGTGCTTGGTTCATGACAGGATAGCCCATGGATTTGTCCCTGCAGTAACTTCCTAAAGTGCAGCTTAGTAGAGGCTAGTAGGTTGCAGTATGACTCTCAGCTTCCCTGGCTCTCATGTTTTTTAACTCCCATTCTGGCATATTTTATTCTCTTGTTTTGGAACATCTCAGTACCACTGATAATATAAGAATTCATACTTAAACAGTTTCTTTAATCCAAGTACTTCACAGGCCTGTGTTGGCATGGTTAAGTTTGCAAAATAGCTTTGGACAGATGCAGCAGTTTGTTTACTTCATATTTGGTCAAAACTGTGTGTACACTTGGACCAACAGATGGAAAGACATAACAAAATTATTTAAATAGTTTCCCCAGTGGAAGTTCTTCCCTGAATAGAGTGTGTTGCAAAAATTTCACTGACAGTTTGAAAAGCAAAGGAAACTGAGATGAGAACGACACTGGAAAAATCTAAGGGTATAATATAATTAAGTACAACTTACTGGACTGGATAGTCTAGGTTTGACTGAGCATATATCAGACTGATTTAAATGTAACAGAAATTGTTCATTTTGCAGTGAAAGTAGCTACTTTGAGATGATATGTCCTTCCATCATTTTTTTATTTGACTCAAGGAAAAAAAAAAAACACTGTTGCTTCAGTTGTTTCATCCAGCAAAAATGTGATAGAAACGTCTGCTGTATCTGCCTTCTCTAAAGCCTCTTACCTGCTAAAGCTCAGTCTTTGTTGTCTGGACTCCAAGTAAGACAGAGCCTGTGCCTGTCCTAGTTTCAGCCAGGACAGACTTCATTTTCTTTTTAGTTGCTGGTATAGTGCTGTATTTGAATTTACTATGAGAATAATTTCAGCAGCACACTGATGTTTTTGTTGTTGTTGTTGAGTAATGTTACCCTAAGGACTTTTCAGTTTCTGCGCTCTGCAGGTGAGGAGATGCACAAGAACCTGGGAAGGAGCATGACCAGGACAGGTGACCCCAACTGGAGAGAAGCATATTCCATACCACAGAACAATGTGCAGTACATAAACTGTGTCTAGTTCCCAGGAAAAGGGGCCAATCTCTGCTCAGGATCAGGCTGGATATCTATCAGTGGGTGGTAAGCAGTTGTATCACTTGCTCATCACTTGCTTATATTGGGTTCCCTTTCTCTCTCTCCTTTTCATTACTATTACTACTACTACTACTACTACTACTACTACTACTACTACTTTCTAATTATTGTATAGTTACATTCTTTTTTCAATTATAATATAGTTCTCATCTCAGCCCATGATGTTGTCGTGGTTTAACTCCAGCTGAAAAGTCAGCACCACACAGCCATTTGCTCAACCCACTTCTCTCCCCCCTGCATCTGTGGAATGGGAGGACAATCCAAGTAAAACTTGTAGGTTAAGGCCAGAATGGTTCGATAATTGAAGATAAAGTAAAATACAAAAATAATGGTAAATTATCATAATAATAATAAAAAGGGAAAAACAAGTGGTGCACAATACAATTCACCACCTGATGATTGATGCCAGACTCCCCTTCCCCCAGACTAGCCCCTCTTCTGAGTCACTCCCCCCAGTTTATATACTGGGCATGACCTTCTGTGATGTGGAGTACCCCTTTAAGCAGTTACCCCTTTTGGGTTACCTGTCCCAGCTATGCTCCCTCCCAGTTTGTTTTTTTTTTTATCTCCTCACTGGCAGAGCATAAGTCAAGATGAAAAAAAAGTCCTTTACTTAGGAAAAGCACAACTTAGCAACACATCAGAACATCAGTGTGTTATCAACACCATTCTCATTTGGAATTCAAAACACAGCACTGTCAGATCTACTGAGAAGAAATTAAGTCTACCCTGGCTGAAACCAGGACAGAGATTTACCTCTTATTCAGATTCTCCTCTCCCATCAGGGAGGAGAAATGAGTGATCAGTTGTATGGTATTTAGTTGTCAGGTGGGATTAATCCAGGAGAGTGCCCAAAGCTCTTTCCCTCACAAGCATAATAAATATGTCCAGGTTTGAGAGAAGGCATATCTCCAACATGAGGGTGATGCATCCCTGCCTTGCTTTCACAATACACGGGCAGTGGAAGGAAGGCTCAGAATGGCATGGCCCAGAGCACACATGATCATCCTCTGGGAACCAAGAGGGGGGTTCCAGTCACTGTTGGCGCAAGGATGTTTTTCACATAAACCTTGGCAGACTCACAGAGAAGAGGACCTGGGCAGAAATTTCAGGTGTCCTTTCTTGGGAAACCAAATGTTGCACTTTTTGCAGTTTATGGAGGATCTGAGCACATTTAAGGACTCTGAAACCTACTGGCAGACTGCATAGTCATGGAGATGAAGAAGGACAGATAGAAGTTTCAGCAGTGCTAGTGGAGCACTGTTATATTACTGCTTTTCTCATGTGCCGTATTACTCATTTTCTCAAGTCTACCTATGAGAGATTGCAAGATGCTGAGCTTGAAGAAAGAGCAGATCAAGTAAAAATGACTATTCTTTCTACTGTTCATAATTGAGTTAACAATATCCTTGTCAAAGCTGTTGATTGATGTAAAAGAATCAACCAGACAAGAAAAGTGGAAGGAAGAGAGATGGGAAACATTTTTCCCTTCTCAAAAGACAGCATGTTTAAAAACATCTTCTTGATAATCACAGATATCCACTCATTATGAATATGAAGAGCTGCTTGCCAGGTTTTAAAAAGCCTGGGGAAGCAGGTCTGTAACTTCATCAGTGTCCCCAGGATGTCTGTGAATAAAATCTATCAGAAGAGTATTTGTTTCTTTTTATAACGGGTCTTTCACCAGAGATAAATCTATCAATTCTCCTGGTTTTTGGCATAAAAGAAAGCAGGGAACTCCTGAGAGTGAGTGCTTGTTTAAGCAGAAATTATCCAGATGGAATGTGGGGCTGG